ACCTCATGATAGAAGATTTATGGGTTTCATCTACATATGATATGTTATTCAATAATATCAGTAACATTGCAGGCTTGTTTTTGCATAAAGGTACCACTACCATCACATGTTTATACCCAAATTTGTGCAAAGCAACCAGGAGCTGCGGTTTTCTATACATAATACTGTAAAATGACTAATTTTCACTGGGTTTAAATTTCACTGATTTACCATTTCGGGCATATTCAGTGGGTTTTAAATTCACGGTTTCGTCATTTAGATAATGTGTTCTATGCTAAATTTTACATATTCACTGTGTTTTAATTTAGCGCATTTTTCCAGTCAGCGAAATAAGCTAAATTAAAACCCAGTGAATAATTACCCCCTTTACAGTACTTACCTTTGCTTCATAACACCATAAAGTCAGTCTTTTGTTTTTGAGTAGTTTCCATAGCCCATCAATCTGACTTTCTAGACAAAGCTGCTGCAATCCCAACTGTTTATCCATTATATACCTGTAGACCAAATACAAAGTAACCAATCAGTGAAAGGCTATTTATACACCAATAGGGAACTGATTGTCTCAAGGTACGATTTACATTGGTCAAGAACAAGGAGATGCTAATGGTTTCTTTTCATATAAGTTCCAAAGACAACTTTTAGAATGACTATTCATGCCTCAAATTATATATAAATTATTACATTTAGGATTTTATAGAAAAGAGAAATACTTAAAATCTAATGAAAATTATATTACTGTAACATGTGTACTTAAAAATTAGTTAAATTTTAGATCGACAATTAACAAATGAAAAACATATATAGTATAGTAGTAAGAGAAATATTCCTGGGTTTCTTTTTTAATGGTTGATATTTGACATTGGAGGGATATTCACTAAGTTTTGAATTCACTGGCTTGGTTAACACATGCACCTACTGAAAGCCTTCGTGAATAGTTGAAATGAATTGGGGAAATAACAGCTAGGAGACAACAGGCAATGTGTTAACATTGAATATTCACTGAGTTTTAATTTAGCATCTATTTACTCATCAGAAAAGTGAATGAAAATAAAACCAAGTAAATAATAAACCTTTGAACCTAAACCCAATTGTAAATTTTCACAAAAATGAAGCTGTATATTTTTTTTTTCTTTACAAATTTTGACCAAGACGTAGAGAATCATGAATTGTCAAATTTCACAAAAATGAAGCTGTATTTATTTTTTCTTTACAAATTTTGACCAAGACGTAGAGAATCATGAATTGTAAATTTTCACAAAAATGAAGCTGTATTTATTTTTTCTTTACAAATTTTGACCAAGACATAGAGAATCATGAATTGTAAATTTTCACAAAAATGAAGCTGTGTTTATTTTTTTCTTTACAAATTTTGACCAAGACAGAGAATCATGAATTGTAAATTTTCACAAAAATGAACCTGTATTTTTTTTTTTTTTTTTTTTTTTTTTTTACAAATTTTGACCAAGACATAAAAAATCATGAATTGTAAATTTTCACAAAAATGAAGCTGTATTTATTTTTTCTTTACAAATTTTGACCAAGACGTAAAGAATCATGAATTGTCAAATTTCACAAAAATGAAGCTGTATTTATTTTTTCTTTACAAATTTTGACCAAGACGTAAGAATCATGAATTGTAAATTTTCACAAAAATGAACCTGTATTTTTTTTTTTTTTTTTTTTACAAATTTTGACCAAGACATAAAAAATCATGAATTGTCAATTTTCACAAAAATGAACCTGTATTTTTTTTTTTTTTTTTTACAACTTTTGACCAAACATAGTGAATTATGTCTATCTGGTCCAAAATTATTAAAAATTACATAAAAATGTGCAAAATGTTTCGCCAATAATATAGCGAGACAAAAACACTGCAAAAGGTTCATCCCTATAAGAGTACCTAGTATCATGCTTGGCAAACATCAGTTTCTGTAAACATGTTGAACAAGTGCCATTAATACATAAACTATCAACTCACCATAGCTGCAACTCGTCTGGGTGTCTGTCAAATTTCTTACAGACTGTAGCCTGCAGATTGCTGAGAGAAGTGTCTTGCTTTACTTTAATGGCACAGGTATAGTTGAAATGAATCTTGACAATCACATGTGTGTTTAATGGCTCTGCAGGTGTTGCCATTTTACTATTCCATGCTGTAGTAGGAACTGGTGGTTTGCCCTTTGAAAAGAGATTGTCACATATTAACTTATTTATCAGTGACAGCTGGATATATGAAAACAATCATACAGAGTACATCCGTCTGTACTTCAGCTAGATTGTTTTGTGGCAACAACGGAATTCGCATTTCCATTACATGCCACAGTTTCTAGCCATATTATAATATTAAATGGAAATAATTTTTTTTTAACATTTTTTTTATTTTTAATCGAATTGGTGTCCATTATTAAAACTTAAAACATGTGGAAATTGCAAATATATGAAATTTTTCGCAAAAGTTGTAAATGTTTAAAAGTTTGCCCTATTGGTCAGATTTTGTTTACTACAACTAAAAATAATATAAACACAATGGTTTGCTATACAACTACTGGCACATATTATTAGTCCCCGTTCGGACGAAGTCCGAAAATGGGGACTTGTAATTCAGTCTCCGTCTGTGCGTCCGTCCGGAGTCATATCTCAGAATCCCTTGGACCGATTCCGTTCATTCTTTCCATGTGCCTTGTACTTTATGTGGGACATATGCACATGCAGTGGTTTAGCGATTCGATTCAAAATGGCCGACTGGCAGCCTTCTTGTTTTTTGAAAATGTTGTATTTTGGACATGCTTTGTCAGTTGTCATTCAAACTTGGTACATAGATTATACATGTTAGGATACATGTCCATGAATATTTATTTCACAATTGGATCAAAGATGGCCGACTGGCAGCCATCTTGTTTTTTGAAAATGTTGTATTTTGGACATGCTTTGTCGGTTTTCATTCAAATTTAGTACATAGATCATACTTGTTAGGATACATGTCCCCGACTGTTCCTGAGTCTGTCAGTCCGTCCGTCCGTGTGTCAGTCTGTCTAGAGTCATATTTCAGAATCATGTGGACCGATTCCATTTATTCTTTGCATGTGCCTAGTACCTTATGTGGGACATATGCACATGCAGTGGTTTAGTAATTCGATTCAAAATGGCCGACTGGCAGCCATCTTGTTTTTTGAAAATGTTGCATTTTGGACATGCTTTGTCAGTTGTCATTCAAACTTGGTACATAGATTATACATGTTAGGATACATGTCCATAACGATTTATTTCACAATTGGATCAAAGATGGTCGACTGGCAGGCATCTTGTTTTTTTTATGCGGTATCTTGGACGTGCTCTGTCAGTTTTCATTCAAATTTAGGCACATACATGTACTTTATACATGTTAGGATGCATGTCCATGACAATTTGTTTCAAAATCTGGTCAAGGATGGCCGATTGACAGCCATCTGACTTTTTGGCCTTACTACTATATTTCCACAATTTATGTACCATTTTCATTCTATTTGGCACATACATCATACATATCAGTGTGTTTCATAATCAGATCAAACATTTTCCAACCGAATAACGGCTGTTTTTATTTTTGGCCATATTACTACTACACGGAACACATGTTTTCATGTAAATAAACAATCTGTTGTATACGCCACTTAGGAACTCAAGTTTCAAGGACACGCTCGTGACAACCCCTCCGCTTTAATATGACGAGCACAAAGAGAACTATCAACAATTTTATATTTTTTCACGATTCGAACAAATATGGCGGACTGGTGGCCATCATGTTTTTCATGGTACCCATGCTACTTTATCTTGAATGCAATGAACGTTTCTGTTTAAATTTTGTACAAAGATAATATACCAAGAGATACATCTGCACCAACATTATTTTTGTGATTCGATTCAATATGGGTGGCCGACGACCAATTTTCATGTAAAAGC